CTTGCGCTGAGCTCGCGAGGCGGTCGGACGTCGCCTTGCAATCTCCTGCAATCTCCTGCAATCTCCTGCAATCTCCTGCAATCTCCTGCAATCTCAGGCGGTCGGACATCGCCATCGTCTTCGTCGCGACAAGCAGCGGCGAGGGCAGCGACCGCGCCTCCCTCTCCTTCGACGGCAACGCAGACCTGCTCGTGCGCGCAGTCGCCGCCGCCAAGGGCCGGCGGACAGTCGTCGCGTGCGTCGCGCCCGGCGCCGCGCTGACGCCGTGGGCCGGGGAGGTGGGCGCGGTCACCTACGCCTTCCTGCCCGGGCAGCGTGCCTAGAGACTCTTGACGTTCCTACCTAGCGGACAGGGGCAGCAGAGGTCGACTAGGGGAGTGCTCACGCCGCATACGGCGTGGACCCAGAGCATATGGTGCTCTCTCCCCATCTCTCCCCGCATCTCCCCCATATCTCTCCCCATTCCTACCCAGCGGACAGGGGCAGCAGAGGCCGACTGGTCAGACAGGCAACGCCGAGTGCTCACCGCCACATCTCCCCATATCTCCCCGTATCTCCTCATCGCTCCCCGCATCTCCCCGTCTCTCCCCCTCTCCCCACATCTCCCCACATCTCTCCCCATATCTCCCCGTATCTCCTCATCGCTCCCCACACCTCCCCGTCTCTCTTCATCGCTCCCCCCACCTCCCCACACCTCCCCGTATCTCCCCATCCCCCCAGGCAAGAGTACGCCGACGGTCTTGCGGACGTGCTCTTCGGCGACGTCAACCCGTCGGCACATCTGCCCCTCACGCTGCCGCGGGCGGAGAATGAGGTCGGCTTCACGGATGCGATGTGGCCGGGCGTGGGCGACAAGCAGCGCGTCGCGTCCTACTCCGAGGGGCTACTCGTCGGCTACCGCTGGTACAATGCGCACAACGCCACCCCCGCCTTCCCGTTCGGGCACGGCCTCTCGTACACCACCTTTGCGCTCGCGGGTCTGCGAGCGAGCCCGACGCGGGTCACCGTCACCGTCACAAACACCGGCCGCCGGCCGGGCGCCGCGGCGCCGCAGCTGTACCTCACCTTCCCTCCCTCTGCGGGCGAGCCGCCGGGGCAGCTTCGCGGCTTCGCGCAGGCGCAGCTCGAGCCGGGGGAGAGCGCGGAGGTGCGGTTCCCGCTGCGGGCGCGCGACATGTCTGTGTGGAACGCAACCACCCACGCGTGGCAGCTTGTGCACGGCAGCTTCGGAGTGGCGGTCGGGCTCTCGTCGAGGGACGCGGCGGCGCTGCGCGGCGCCTTCCGGAGCCCCTGAGGAGAACCCCGGGGAGGAGCGAGCCTGAGGGGACCCACGCACCGCGGCGCAGCGGGGAGCAGGGGGCCGGCAGAGGAGGCAGCCTCGTGTACCGGCCTCGCTTGGGCACAATACGCGTCCCTCCGTCGAGTGGCGTCTCTCTCCTCTCCGCTCTAAAAAGGGCGTCTCAGTCAAAAAAGTACACGTCACATCGACACAAACGCTAGCGCTATACAATGGACAGCTGAAGGGCGGGCTTCAAAGACGGTGCGCACATTCTGAACACCGCACAAACACGTCACAAACTGGACAATGCACGAGAGCCGGGTGGAGGCGGAGTCGGCAGAGACCACCCGCTCCGGCCGCTGCGGTGAGAGAAAGGTCGAACCGCCTCAGAATATCCAGAGATGCCTCGTGACCATCTCGTAGATGGTATACGCAACCGTCAGGGCGAAAATCAGCACAACCACAACGCACAAGCCGCACATCACGCGGTCGGTCTGTCGCTGAGCCACCGCGATCCGGCCGCCGGCGATCGACACACGCTTGGAGCCCTCCATGGCGGATGCGGCGGATGCACGGCGGGTGCTCCTCGCAAAGTAGGAGGTGACTCGTGCGGTGAAGCGCGATCGCGCCATCTGCCGCTCGAGCGACGGGGGAGTCACCTCCGTCGCGTCTGTGTCCGGCTTTCTGTCGTCGGTCTCCTCCTCCTGCCCTGTCTCCACTGCCTCCAAATCTGGTGGGGCTTCGGTCCGGGTCGACTCGCCGCGTAGCCACGCCGAGATCCTGGTCCAGCGGGAGCGCGCCTGCTGGCGCTGCAGCGGCGGCACCATCGCGAGCATCTCAAGGACGGGTATCGACCACCTTGGGTCAGCCTTGTCAGGGCGCGCCAATTATGATTAGGGGGGAACGACGCACGTTTTCTTCCTTTTTTGAGCTTAGCCTTCGAGAGAGATTTTTATTAACCAACAAGAAATCACGACTCTCACAGTGATTTGGGCTCGGCAGCTTGTTAGCCCTCAGCCGAAGCTGGGGCCGGTCCCGTAGCCGAGAGAGCCCGCGCCGTGAGTTCGACGCGGTCGGGAGGCCTTGCGGAGAGGCCAGCGAGGTGGCGATCGCTGTACTTCATGGTCGTCATCAAGTGACCGGCTGACAAGCCAGAGGTCGATACTCTGGACGACCCATAGGATGCCACGAATGCCTGAAGGAGAGGGAGGCGAGGCCAGAGGCAGGCTCAGCTGCTCTCGGGTGATCCCGCTTTGGAGGCTGAAGGACCCGATGGTCCTGTCACATTCGCGTTCCGAGTCGTGGGGGTAGAAGAATTCGAGTAGAAATCGAGTCAGCACTTCCTTGTAGTACAGCGGACCGCCAGGCTCGCCGGCAGCATCCGCAGGGAGGCAGCATATGAGGCACCAGTTTTCTGGAGAGCTCAGCAGCTGCGGCCGCGGTGGCGGAGTCGGCCGCGGTTCGAGCGAGCAGCTTTTGGCTGCGGGTTCGAATCGCGGAAGGCTCATGCCCTCGCGGAGCGACGCGGGTCGCGCGGCGTGCGCGTGTGCGAAATGCGACAACAGACGACAGACGACAGACGCCTGAGCGCTGTACGCCTGAACTTTTGTCGCCGCAATCGCCACCGCCGCCATCTTGACGAGCAGCGCGAGCGCGCTCGTCGGCGGCCAGCCGTCGCGGGCCGGGCCGAGCCCGGCCTCAACCGGCCGCGCCGCCGCAGCAGGCCCGGAGGCCCACATGGCGGCCGACCAGCTGATAAGGAACTCTTGCCTTCGATGTTATGAAAACAAACGCAAGGCGGACATGGCATATCGCTCTCGGGCCCACAGACACCCCGCACACTCGCCGCACACCCGCCGCCCCCCGCGCGCGCCCCACCCCGTTTCTTTTTTATATTTTTGGGGGATTTGCTCGCTTCATCACACAGCATTGCAACATCAACACTCTTTTCCCTTTCTGTTCATAAAAGCAGAACTCGGGATCATCAAACGCTCTTCTCGCACATCTCTCACACATGTCATGTCATGTCTCTCTTCCGATCGATACAGAGAGTAAGTAAGTGAGTGTGTGTGTTTGTGTGTGTGTGTGTGTGTGTGTTACTCACACTCACTCACACACTCAGTAAGTGAGTGAGTGAGTGAGAGTGATACTCCGTGTTATCCTCCAGATAGAGAAGTGCCCTTTTCTGTGAGCAGGGATTCCCTCCCGGCGGGGGTTGTGGCGGAGAGCCGGCATGGGAATCGCCGGCCTCCACCCAGGGGGTGCGGCCCCTGCCAGGCGCCGCAAGCGGTGCCCGACAGGGGCGGGTGCCCCCACCCCGAGCGAGGGGTGGGGGCGGGGGCGGGGTCCAACGTGACCCGGCCCATCGCCTCGGCAAGGTCTTCGTACTTCGATGTGATTTTCCACGGTGTCGTCGAGCGAGAGTGCGGTAGCCGCGGAGGTGATGGCGTCGATATCGTCGTTTGAACGACAGCCGCCAACCACCTTCCCCGGGCACAGCCTTTCGGTTCGTGAAGGGTCGGTGCGTGTCGTGACCCCCTGGAACACCCGTACCCCCGCACCATCTCCATCGCTTGGTTCTATAACCTTGCCACCACCGGGAGCGGCCAGGGCTTCATAGACTCGGTCGAGAGACCCCAGATCGGCATCCATGCCTTTCTGGACAGGGTGGCCCGCCACACACAACGACCCCTGGAATTGCGACTCGCCGCTTTCCTCCCGCTGTGATCCTGTGTGAGCTCTGTGTCTTGGTTTGCCAACATGCCTAAAGCCAAGCACTTCAGCACGAGGACGAGGCGACCTGGTCGACGCGGTCGTGGCTGTCGCTGCAGGCCCAGCGCATGTCAGTCGCGCTGCAGCTCGCGGCGGCGGAAGAGATTGCGACCGAGCTCAGGCTCGCCGCGGCGTCGGAGGACGCCGCCGTCGCCTAGACTCCCCTGCGTCACTAACTACGTGCCTCCCCGTCTTTGTAGCCTGGCGTTTGTGCCCCGTTTGTGCCGCGTCCCGTGCCCCCGAGTTCATTTTACAAACTAAAGCCAAGCACTTATATCATTAAGCTAAAATGCCCGAGGGTGGACTGTTGAGTAACAGTAGTGTTAGTGTGTCGTGTGTGTCTCGCGCCTTGCGGGGGGGGAGCGGAAAGGAGGAACCTCTTCCCGCGGACGGACGAAGCGGGGGTCGGGGTGATGTCCTTCAGCGCGCCGCAGCCAGAGGCGCCGCACGACGCGGTGTTGCGAGGCGACGAAGCGGCGGTGCGTTCGTGGCTCGAGAGAGGCGGGCGAGCAAACACCGCGCGCGAGTATGGCGAAGCAACCGGCGTTACCCTGCTGATGGACGCCGCCGGCCAGGGCCACGAGCGGGTGGCTGCCTTGCTGCTGCAGCACCGCGCTCAAATCAACCTGCAGAGCAGCATCGGCGGCACCGCGCTGATGTTTGCCGCCATCGACGGCCACGAGTGGGTGGTCGAGCTGCTGATTCGGCATGGCGCTGAGATCAACCGGCAGAGCAGCGATGGCGGCACCGCGCTGATGTACGCTGCCACCAAAGGCCACGAGCGAGTGGTCGAGCTGCTGCTGCAGCGCGGTGCCGAGATCAACGTGCAGCAGAGCGACGGCTTCACCGCGCTGATGCGCGCCGCCAGCCAAGGCCACGAGCGGGTGGTCGAGCTGCTGTTGCAGCGCGGCGCGGATGTCAACCTGCAGGACAACATCGGCGGCACCGCGCTGATGTGCGCCGCCAACAACGGCCACGAGCAGGTGGTCGAGCTGCTGCTGCAGCGTGGCGCGGAGATCAACAAGCAGAACAGCATCGCCGGCACCGCGCTGATGATCGCCGCCGCCCAAGGCCACCTCCCCGTCGTGCTCCACTTGCTGCAAGCTGGCGCAGATACGAAGGCTCGCGGTGCGACCGGCATGACGGCGCTGCAGTTGGGCAAGGGGGCGGCCAAGCTTGCGACTGCCGACGCCGCCAGTGCTCCTACATGGGACCACGCCGGGTGCGTGCGCGCTCTCACAGAGCATGCAGCGGCGCTGAGGGAGGCGGAGGCGGCAGAGAAGGCGGCAGCGAAGGCGCTCGAGGCCAAGGGGCGGCGCGAACAGCGCGAGCGGGAGGAGGCGGCAGCGGCGCGAGAGCGCGAGCAGGCGGCACGACAGCGCAAAGCAGAGCAGGCGGTGGACGAGGCGCGCCGGGCGGCGAATGTGGCGGCTCTGGAGGAGCAGCGGCGAGCGATTGCGGCTGAGGCGGAGGCGAAGCTGGCCGCTGAGCGCGCGGCAGCAGAGGAGACATTGCGGGCGAGGGAGGCGGAGAGGCGAGCAGTAGAGGAGGCGCAGCTTGCGGAGCAGCGGGCGGCGGCGGCTGCGCGCAACGCGGCTAAAGCGGAGGCGGAGCGGCGCGAGAAGGAGGCCGCCAACAAGAGGGCGGAGGAGGAGAAGGCAAGGCTGCGCGCAAAGGCGGTGGAGGCAGCGGCGGCCAAGAAGGCGGCCAAGGAGAAGAACAATAAGGCCAAGAAGGCGCCGCCCGCCTTCAAGCTCGAGGAGGAGCGGAGGGCGAAGGCTGCGGCAGAGGTTCGCGAACAGGAGGCGAAGGCGGCGCGGCTGGCTGCTGAGCAAGAGGCGGCGAGGCGGGCGGAGCGCGAGGCGGCAGAGCTAGCGGGTGCGGCGGAGCAGGCGGCGCTGCGAGAGGCTGCGGAGCTTGCAGAGGCGTTGCGCCGGTCAGAGGTGGATGCGGAGGAGGCGCTGGCGCGTCGGGTGTCGCGGTGCGAGGAGGCGGTGAGCAGCGAGTCGACCGGCGGCGGCGGGGAGTTGCAGCGGCGTGTCGATCGGCTGGAGGCGAGCCTCGGCGCGGCGACCGAGGGTAGCCTCGAGGAGCGGGTCGGCGCCATTGAGCGCTTGATCGAGCCAGAGGCGGCAGAGGCGGCGGAGCAGCAGCTGCCAGTCACTGAGCCGCTTGCCGCCGTCTCACTAGCGGACGCCGGCCAAGACACGGGGCGGCCGGCTGCACCAGAGTCCACCATGGGAGGCGAGACGTCGTGCATCATGTGCTTCGAGCGGCCAAAGTCTCACCTCGCAGTGCCGTGCAGCCACTTGTGCGTCTGCGGTCCCTGCTCGGAGCTGATGCGAGAGTGCCCGTATTGCCGCGAGCCAGTGATGATGTGGCTCGCGCCGCGCCCCGTGTGATCAGCTTAACTCCAACGTTTTGTCTTCCGCTTGTTAGTCTGCGAAAACGAAAACGCCAACCCCTTACCGATGTCAGGCAGTGTGTCTCAGCCAGAGGCGCCGCACGACGCGGTGTTGCGAGGCGACGAAGCGGCGGTGTGCGTTCGTGAGAGCGGCCGCGGAGAGAGAGGCACGCGCGATTTAGTATTCTTTAGCGCCAGTCCCGTGCCTAGTAAAGAAAGAAATTTACAACTAAAGAAAGAAAGAAAACATACAGCCCAAGGGAGGGATGGGAGGACGACGTGCGAGGAGGGTTGGTAAAATTCTTTAGTGATATGCGAATGGAGACTTGGGCGATGCGTCTTTCGGTGCAGCGCCGCCTGGGTCTCCCCCTCGACGACAGCGACGTCGAGGTTGACGCAACCGTATCGAGAGCGCCACCCAAAAGGAGGCGGACGGCCATGGAGGTCACCGGATGGAAGGCGAACGGCACGATACGAAAAGGCAGGGCGAGGCGGATGGAGAAAGAAGTGCCGAGGAGGCCATGGTGGAGGGGAGGGACGGGAGGACGAAAGAAGGGCGAGGAGGACGAGCGGCCCGCACAGGCCGCGAGCAGACAGCGCCTGCTGGCCATCTCGAGACATTCGCAAAGAACGCTAGCTACATGCAACATGGGAGGGCTTCGTGAAGGATGGATTGAAAAACATTCGAACAAAGAAGAGGCGACGGGTGGGAGGAACCGGCAGAGGATCAGGATGCAGTGACGTGAGACACACACACACACACACACACACACACACACACACACACACACACACACACACACACACACACACACACACACCGCTCACCCACGCGCAACGGGCCTTGCACTTTGAATGCCGTGGGGCTCCTGTCGTTAGACGTGGAGACGCGAGGGTTGCCCCCCCTTGCCCCACCACCTCGTGTGTGTGGAGAAGTTTACCTTACCTTACCTTACCTGGCCTGCCAGGCCGCGGCGGCGGGCAAGAAGACTCGGAATGGGAAGACCCACGACGAGTATGGCGACGCTGCTGTCAGCGTACCGCAGCAGGGCCACAACACCAGACACAAGTACACGCTTCGACGCCTCATCCTCGCCCTACGCGCCGCGTGGGGCACCGCTGTGCGAATGGAGCCGAAAGGCCACCTCGGTCAGAGTTACAACAAACAACCCGACGTGGACGCGGAAACATTGCTCATTGGCAAGGATGGCACGCACTATTGCGGAGACGTCAAGGTCGTCTGTCCCCTCAGCAGCAGCGGGGAGCACGGTCGGAAGGGCGCTTTTGTCGCTTTCGGCAACACTGAATCATTCTACCGGAACATGGTCATGGGGCATGGGCCCGACTGCGAGGAGGGGGAGGGGGGGAGGGGGGGGGAGGGAGGAGGGGGGGGAGAGGAGGAGGGGGGGGGGAGGGGGAGGGGTACACGGGGGGGGCGGCATGGAGGGGGAGAGGAAGAGCAAGGGCGAGAGAGGGCAAGGGACCGGGCGCTGGCATGCCAGGGGGGGCAGGGTGGTGGGCGGCGACCGCCGCGTACCGTCCTACGGCGGGGACTATCGCTACGCGAGGGAAGACAAGGGCGTTGAAGTGCAGCTGCTGCTGTTCGAGTCGTTCGGCGGGTTCGGAAAGGGGGTCCGTGAGATCCTCCGGAAGGCGGCGGACGTGCTACAGAACAAGCTGACGCGGGCCCAGTACCTCGATGAGGTGACTTGGACCACTAAGAATTGGCTGGGGCTGCAGAAGCAGCGTATCTCAGTCGTTCTTCACACGGCAATCGCAGAGCAGGTTGTGAATGAGCTTGCCTGTGGCGGGGGTGGGCGGGTGCACGGAGCGAAGTGCCTCGCCACCCTCGCAGGAGTCGCTTAGGCGGCTCCCGTGGGGTACCTGTGTTAGTGCCAGTGCGAGCCAGTCCCGTGCCCAGTGTTGTGCGAGGGAGCTTTTTGTAAAATTCTTTAGTCTGCTGTGAGAGAGAGCGGCTTTTGAATTCTTTAGGGAGTTTCGTTGTAAAATTCTTTAGTCCCAAGAGGAGGACTGTCGACTGTCCTCGACGGACCGCCCCCGACACCGCCGCGTATCTTCCGAGGTGTTATGCTGGCAGCGCTCCTTGTGTGCTTGGTTGCAACGCCGCGCCGTGCGACGAGGACAGAGCGCGCCGCTGCTCCGCCAAACTACTCCGGGAGGCCCGCCGCAGCGTCGCCGAGCTACAGCTGGGAGGCGCGAAAGTTTGGAGTGGTGACACCCGCCTCCGTGGTCGCGCAGACCCGGTGCAGTCGGACCGCCGGCTGGCGTCCACTGTCGGCGGTGCCGCAGGGCGGAACCAAGGCCGGATGGATTGGTGGGCAGGCCGCTACCACAGCCAGCTTAGGCAGCGCGTGGGAGGCGCGGAAGTTTGGCGTGGTTACGCCGGCATCAACCTCTGGCGCGGCCACTCCGGGTCTGCCCTTTGAGGGCGCGTCCTTCGCCGTCGGGAGCTCGATCGCGGATCTCTCCTGGGAGGACCACAAAGCCGCAGCCATTCTCTCGCCGCAAAGCGAGCGCGGCCGCGTCGACCTGCGACGCACCGCCGCCTCGGCAGACAGGTCGAGGAGCAGCGGTCTGGCGGCGGCAGCAAGGCTCTCACAGGCGCACCCGCAGACGCCCCTCTCTCCAGCGGCGGCCGCGATTGAGGCGTCGATTGCGTCGATTGCGAGGGCGGCGGCAGCGGCCGCGGCAGAGCGCTTGGCAGCGGTCGACGCGCTGGACGCCGCCGAGGCAGCTTCGGCCGAGGCGGAGGCGGCGGCGGCGGCGGCGGAGGCCGCCGCCGAGGCGGCGGAGGCGGAGTCGGCGGCGGCGGCGGCGGCGGCGGAGGCGGCGCGGAAGGCTGCGGAGGAGAGAGAGGCGGCGGCGGCGGCGGCGGCGGCGTCCGAGGCGGAGGCGGCGGCGGTGGCGGAGGTGGCGGAGGCGGCCGAGGCGGCGGCGGCGCAAGCGAAGGCGGCGGAGGAGTCGGCAGCGGGGCAAGCAGAGGCGGTGGAGGCGGTGGGACGAGCGGAGGCGGCGGCAGCCGAGGTGGCGGCAGCCGAGGCGGCGGCAGAGCGAGCGGCGGCAGAGCGAGCGGCGGCAGAGCGAGCGGCGGCAGAGCGAGCGGCGCCGCCTCAGCTGCCGCCTCCTCCGGCGGCGTCGACGCATGTGGGCGACAGCGCGGGCGATGCGTCGGTGTGCGAAGGTCTGGAGAGTGAGGGGCTGCCCGCGATCAAGAGACGCCTGCCCGGCATCAGCAGTACGTTGTGAACAGGCTGTGTGTGCGACGGTCCGGCGAGCGAGGGGCTGCAGGGTGGGTTCGGGTACCGTGGGGATGGGGAGGGCGAGCGTCTGCAGGCGGCGCCGACCCTCTGGACTCGGCCGGCCACTCCGCCGGGCACAGGCGCTGCAGACGGCGCTGCAGACGACACGCGGCGCGGCTCGGGTTGGGACAGCGGGCCCCTCACCCTAGCGGCCAAAGTGGGCATCATCAAGCAGGTCTCCCCCCCCCCCCCCCACCCCCCCCGTCCCATCAAGCGGTGGCCTCAATGTGGTGGAGAGGTGGAGAAGGTTCACCCTCACCACCACCTCACCCCAGGCGTTGGGGCTCGACGGCAGCCTGAGCCTCCGAGCCGCTATCCACGCCGCGAATGAGGACGTGGGCTGCGAGGCTGGCGGGAACCTGCACGAGCAAGCAGACGCTCTCTTGCGCGAGCTGACGTAGACTCCTTCCTTTGGGGTGTCACTTCCTTTCTCTTTTTCGACGGGATACGGACACACAAGGTGCGTTTCTTTGATATGGGGGTCCTGGTGGAGGGGAGGGGGTACTGACGTCGTGTTTGAGGTGTCTATTAAGGTTGCTCCCGGCCCAGTGGATTACACGAGGCGTCGGCGTGGAAGGCACGCCCTCCCCGGAGCCCGGACCCCGCGCCTCTCGCCCTCTCCCCCTGCCCCTCCTCCCTCCCCACACATCTCATCGCTCTCCCCCTCCCCCCCACATCAAGTTTTACACTAGCACGTCGAGGAAAACAGTTTGTCGGAACAATGCGTTCGATCGTCTTCGCCCCAACTTCCCTTTCTATCGATCGCCCGCAGCGCTCTCCTCTATATACGGCCCATGCCGCATGCGCCCACGCCTCGCGAGCTTCTTGGGCAGCAGCTGGTTCGACAGGTCCTCTCCGTGGCCTAGGCAGCCGTCGCCGCCCTCGCCCGAGGTAAAGAAGGCGCCGTCGGCGGTGAGGGCGCGATGCTGTGGCGGACCCCAGCGGACACAGCGACGACGCGCCGCCCAGCCAAAGCACCCGAGTAGAGGGGGCGTTCTGCAGTTAATGGGGAAACCCGGTACACGGAGCCAACGTGCCAACCCTCGGGGAGGCCGCCTTGTTATGACAAACCTCAAACGTGCGTCTCGCCGTCTCGACGCCGAACCCGCGAACCGATGCCATATAAAATAGAGCCGGCATCTCCAGCCAATCTCCAGGAGAGATGGGCGACGCACGAACACACCCAGAGGCACAGTGCGCACCCCGGTCCCCGGGCTCCCCGCCCCGCTCGCCAGGGCGTGCATCGAACACAGCACTTGGAGCACTTGGAGTGCAGTCATCAACCGCACATCCAGGGCCAGGGAGCTCAGAAGCGCACCCAGCGGGCCGGATGATTGGCATCGGGTTACGGGCTAGAGAGCCCTAGCCCCGGGGGTGCGCGTTCGCAGGGAAAGGGCCGTAAAGTAAACACGGGTCTCCGAGGGTTGGCTCCGCGCTCCGGGTTTCCCCTAGCAGCAGACCGCCCCCTCTACTAGGAGCTATAACGAACACCAGACATGAACACGACACGCACTCTCACACGACGTCACCGCTCAGGGCCCCTTCACGCGGGGTCCTCATCCTCACTCCGGAGGAGGCTCCCCTCTCCTCTGAGTTCTTCCTCTTGTTCGCCTTCCGATGATCATCCGACGGGCGCGGGGCCCGACCTCCCCTCCTAGCCTTTTTCAGCAGCGGCCCCGCCACCGTCTCGTCTTCTCTGTCCGATTCTGTTGCCATCACCGACGGCGATCCCGTGCCCGACTCCCTGGGCGAGGACGGCAGTATTGGGTCGCACCCACTTCCACCCCTGGGAGGTCGAGCCCGCTCTCCCTGGTCGACGAGTCGCGCCCGCACCCGCGGCCTTTCTATCGTCCTCGGCTCGCCCCCCCCCCCCTCCGCCGGCTCCTCTTCAGGCTCGGGGAGGCGTGGCACACCCTGTCGAAGATCACGGTGGTCCGGCTGCCACTGCGACGGGCCTCCCCCCGGAGAGCTCGTACGTCCCGACTCCACTCGCAGAGGCCGCGTCAGCTCATCTCTCGCCTCCTCCGACAACTGACCCCAAGCCCCCCCTGGGGCCCTCCGGCCTCGGCCTTCTGGCTCGCCGGCGGGCCCGTTATCATATTGCGGCAACTCTCCTCCCCCAGCTCCTCCTCCCGGGTACTCCAGCCTCCGGCGGTGCGGCTCCGGATCCCCCAGGTTATTCCGAGCGGGTCCATACGGCGGCGGCCCCGCCGGCGGCGGGGGTGGAGGCGGTGGCAGGGGTGGCGGGTACAGTGGCGGCCCTCGCGGCCGTGACGCCTGGTGTGGAGCCGCTGGGGCGGCCCCTCGACCCTGCAGCCGTTCCAGCGGCGGGGACGGAGATGGTAGTGTGGGTGGCGGAAAAGGTGGCGGTACTGGCGGCCGCGCCGCCTGGTGTGGAACCTCAGGGGTGGCCCCTTGACTCAGCGGCCGCTCCAGCGGTGGGGGCGGAGGCGGTGGTGGTGGGGGCGGGCATGGTGGCGGTGCCGGCAGCCGCAACGCCTGGAGCGGGGCCTCGGGGGCGGCCCCCTGCCCCTGCGGTCGTTCCAGCCGCGGTTCCACGCGTCGGCCGACTCCCCCACTCGTGGGGGGCGGCCTAGCTCTCGTCTCCCCTCGAGAAGGGGGGGGGCCAGGGCCCAGATTCGCCGACGGCCCCGCTTCTCCCTCCCCCCGCTCCGCATCTCAGGTCGTAGGCTGCGCAGTAGCCGCGCCGCTCCCCCCTCACCCGGTCCCTCTCGATTCGGTCCCGCACCGACCGGATATCAAAGGCCGAGTTGCGTTCGGACAGCGGGCCCGCCGATGCCACACGCCTCTTCACGCAGCAGGCGCACGCCTTCATCGCCTGCCTCCCCGACAACGTCGCTCGGTCCCGGTGCAATGTCGTTGACGAGGTAGTCCTCCCCCTCCCACCGGAAAACCTGTCCAAGGTCCGTCGCGGCCAACCAGTCGTCTTGCCAGTCCCCGCACTTCCCACAGGAAAAATTCTTTTCTCGGTTCGCTCGCTAGGGGCCCCACTCGTTTCGCGCCGCCAATCACGGAGCTCTCAGCTTTGCACCCTCCCGGGCTCCCCACTCCCCGCCCGGTCGCGCCGCCAGCGCCGGCGCGCGCCTCGTAGCACGTACGGGGTGTGGAGGATGAGTTGAACATGGGGTTGTGCGCCGGGCCCTCCTGCTCGGCTCCAGCCCCTGTTGATAGGTCCAGGTGATAGCCCTGGATGGGCAATGCATACGCCTCACTGGACCTCAGATCGCCCGACCGCGTCCCGGTGCTCTGCCGTCGGATTTGTGACGCCGCCGCACCGCGCCGCGGCCGGGGGCCCTCCGGAGGCCGAGGATGGCCGTGGCGGACCGGGACGAGCTCTGGGAGGGGGGGGGTCAGTGAGTATATTGTAGAGACTAACCATGTGCACAATAACTCTCACTCTAGCTAAGCGAGGGGAGGCGATTCCGGGGCCGTACAGCAGCTTGACGTGCTTCGCCGGCGTGCGTCCCGGAGCGGTGCCGGAGCGCGGCGAAATCGGAGGACACCGTCACCGACGAGTGCGTTGGAGTATTCACTCCGGACAAAGACGGCCGCACGCACACGAGCTGCGGTCGTGCGGCCGTCATAGCGGCGAGGCGCGGGACCGTCTGTGGCGAGGTGGGTCGTGTCCTCCGATTTCGTTCAACCCAGAGAAGAGAGAGAAACAAGAGAATCCTCCTTATCAGCTGGTCGCTTCGCTCTCGCTCGCCTTGTCCGGCGCCGCCGCGCGGCCGGCCACGGCTGCGCCCGGCCTCGTCTCCACGGTCTCAGACGGCCTCATGGCGCCTACTGACGCCGACGAGACGGAGCGCGTCGGATTCGTGCTGCAGAAACTTTCAATCTCGCCGACGCTTTATGAGGCACCGAATCGACCAGAGCCAGCAGCAGAGCACTCCTCGCCTGGCTCGGTCGGGTCAGCGCCCGACTGCGATCGACTGGCCTCCAGTTCGAACCCAGGTGGGCCTGCTGCCGGCCGCGATGGCTCGCCAGAGCTGCCGGGCTTGCCCAGCCTCGCTGGCGCCTTTGGCGAGGCTGGGGTGGCTGCTGGGCATGACGACATCGCAGCAATGACCTCCACGCTGCGGAACATCCGACTGGGGCTCGCACAGGAAGCCGCAGCGACCCGCGTTCAGCGGGCGATGCGCGCGTTCCTGCTGCGCAAGGGCACCATCATCATCACGATCCTCATCACCAAGATACAGGCCGCTGCGCGCGGCCTCAACACCCGCACTTCTCTGAACAACTTCTTCAAGGCCTGCCCGCCCAGCGGGCGCACCGCCGACCTCTTCCTCAGCCGCGTCTACGGTGGCCACGAGGGCGGGCGGCGGCGCGGCGGCGGCTACGTCGTCGATTTCATCTACTGTTTGCGCTCGACCCGTCTTCCTCTCTCTCTTCCGGAAGCGCTGGCCCGATTCCCTCTCGAATTATACAACCCTCACGACACAGTGCGCGACTGCCACGGAACCAACGGGTTCTGCAACCAACACGAGGTCAACGGAGAGCAGCTGAGCCTGCCTCCGCCCTCGTCCCCCTTCACCTCCGGTGAGTCGCCCTGCCCCAGTCGTCCAGAGCACGACCTCTGGCGAGTCAGCCGGTCACTTGATGACGACCTGAAGAGCAAGAAGAAGACAAGGCAAAACGACAAGAAGCGCGCCAAGGCCAAAGCAGCGGCTATCGCCGCTGCAGCGGCCGAGGAGGCTGCTGCAAAGGCGGCTGCTCAGGCGGCCGCTCAGGCCGCTCAGGCGGCCGCTCTCGGACGGTACAGGTTGGTCAACGCTTGGTTCTATCCACGCGGCGACTGGTACACCTTCTACTGGGATGGCAGCTCGGCCGACAAGGTCGCAAGGCGCGCTACCTACCCGACGCTCGAGCACGACGACCACGACCCCGGCCCCCTCGCAGAGCGCATCAGGCGCGACAAGCGCGAGGCGTCCCACCGCTCCTCCGACGACTCCTCCTCCGACCGCGACTCGTGCGGCACCGGCTCCACTAGCGAGGCGAATGACATATTCGACACCCTCGAAGACCATCTCGGCTACGGTTCCGACTCCGGCTCCGGCTGGTAGTCGACAAGCTGCCGAGCGCAAATCACTCTGTGTGACACATTTCTTGTTGGCTTCTAAAAATCTCTCTCTCAACCCAGCATCCACACCTTTAGGCGCGCGCGAGCGGCGCGGGAGCGCCCGTCGCGGTTCCCGGTCGGCGGCTGTGGTGGCGGCGGCGGCGGTGCGGTGGCGTGCGGTGTTCGGAGCGCCCGCGAGCCTAGTCGCTGCTGTCGCCGCCGCCGCCGCTTGCAGAGCAGCTGCCTTGCGGCGCCGCGCAAAGCTGATTAGGCGGCGGCGCCGGCAACGGCCGCGAGCGGCG